ACTCTCTAGGAATAGTGGTTTAGGAAATGACTGAAATATGTTGCGAAAAAGGCGTTAAATGAAACAAACAAACAAAACAAATCATTAAAATGCCCGTATAATTCTAGATCAACAAATTGAGCAAGTGCTTAAGGTTACCCACGTGCCTGGCCGCAACAGTTGTTGTTTTGATGTAAATTTGAACTTATATAAATGAAAAACAAGAAAATATGACATCTGATTTATGTGTTTGAACATACTGTAAAATATTGTAACAGTTGTCTTGACAAATAATTGTCTCATTAGTTCGACCAATCGTTGTCAAACACATATTGTGCGTTTGTTTTTTCGCTAATAAATAATGTGAATTAATATCATCACACATTGTTGAACAGAAGAATTTAGGAGTGCGAAATACTTGGAATTTATTTGCAGGGTTTTCAAGAAATAAAATTATTAAACGTTAGGGAGCTAGAAGATTCAACTTATTTTACCTGAAACCTGTAGAATGTGAGTACTTTTATTTCCATTTATCTATTTATTTATCAACTTATACGTTTATTCATCTTAGACACAGACTCAACAAAATTTCTTACTAAATTGCATATTATAGTCTGAAATTTTTGAAAAGTTTATTTTTTTAAAGTGTTTCAACATGTAGAACTTTTAGATTTTAAACTACAGTGTCAAACGAAGACCTGCTTTTACGCTTTTACCGAGCGAATGATAATTCCGCGCAGAATAAAACATTCTTTGTATATTTTAAGGATGACAATCACGTCTTATTTCTTATTTAATGCTTAATAAAATTTTACACTCCAATTTTAAAAGATAAAATAGAGAATAAAAAAAGCAGAGAAAAAAGTTTTATAAACCGACGGTTCTTCGCTTTAAAAGTTTTCTATTGTTACTCGGGTATGCTTTAAGATAAATTATTATTTAAAAGCCATAATACAAAAATGTTTTCCAAACCCGCTTAGTTCAATAAGGAAAATACAAATCGAATCTCTCTTTAGAGGGGTGATGTTTCATCCTCCTCGACGGTTTCTAGGCAAAATTTCTCGGACAATTGTTCTCGGTCTAATTAGTTATTGTGTCTAATGCTGGATATCCATTTAACCGTTTACATCAGTGTTAAACTTTGGTACGAGATACCATCGATATCGAAAAAATCACTTTAATGTGTCAAATACGGGCTTTTAAAAAGACCCTTTGTTATGAGATTAGTCATAGTTTGCTTTTAATGGCCGATGGAATCTATTTTCTTATGTTTTACTTTTTCACCAAAACAAAGCAGTGCGCTTGTCAATAAATTTACACAGAGACAGCCCTTTAGGATGACCCTGGAGCATATTGCAACAAATTTGTTGTTATGTTAGAAAGTCTCCACTGCCGTCTGGAGCTTTGTATAGACATATTTTGCCGAAACGATAGTCGTTGACTTGGTACGGCCTTTAACCAAATAAAAGGGTACTAAAATCCAATTCAAAACTAATAATTTCATAATAGACCATTTTTCGAGTATTACGTTTAAATCTAATAATTAAGTGATGTTAATCTGATGTATTACAACTATATAATTGTTTAACAATTAAAATTCAAAAATTCAGTGCTAAACAGTAAAATAAAAATGACACCAAGAACCGTTTGCCAATCTTTGTTGAGTTTATTCTTCATATTCCAAGATTCAAAAATATTTTTTCAAATGCATTTACTCTACATATTATTCAAATCAATCTATTTTAATAAACAAATACAAACTGAAGTAAATTAAATAAGATTCGTTCCATACAAAATCATGCCGATTCGTCTTGATTCAGTATTGGGATGGTAGCTTGTACTAAACTAAACCGTTCATGTCACAAGCTCTGGCTAATGAAAATGATGTGATTGAGGCCTCCGTTCCATCTGTGTGTTTACTCGATGGTGATCATGGAACTTTTTATATGGCACTTCCGTGTAAACCACATTGCTTCATTTGAATGACTCTGGTCATGCACGGCAGTTGTAAGTCATATTCCCACAACGACATGGTTTAATGATCAAGCACCATTTTATTGAAAACTTATGTTTCCGCATAATTCGATACAAAATGTTCATTTCTCTGTTAATTAACTTTTGTTTTTACATGAACCTAGTTACAATACGAGAAATTATTTATAAGGCATATAAGTGATGTAGGATTGATCTTCTGGAACGTTAAGGGTATGTTATACTGTCTTAAAAGGAAGTTATCCTGCGGCAAAATAAAGACAGTTTACAATTAAGTAGTTCTTTAAAATGTTTATCTGTTCTTTTCGGAAATGTTTCAACATTATATTCGTTATCTGGCAAACATTACACCGAGTTCTCTGTATCAGTGTCCCTCTGCGAAGCTACGGCACATGCTTAATTTGGGTGATTATATCTACATCTTTATAATTTTCTAGCCAGAATTATACCTGAAAGATTAGCCAGAATCATACCTGGAAGATTGAGTTCTGATCAATTGAATAAACTTCTACGCAATTTTATTTATCATTATAAAGTTAAAAATTTTTTTAAAAAAGTAGATGATCCGTTCTTGTTCACGTTTCTATTGACAAACAATGCGGTCGAATGCATGGAAAATACCACATATTTAAACAAAAATGAAAATTACGGCATCAGAAAGTGTGTCTGATAATCGGGTGGCTGCAAAACTTACAACGCGGTCGTATGGCAGATAAACATCAGGCCTAAATGGTTATTTCCAAATGGAACTAATCGTAAAAAAAGACTTCAGGAATTAATACCTGTTAAAGTACTTGTACTAGTTAAGTGCCTGAATGAATTAAGCGATGGTTCAGTAAACTATGTACACGAGTCCAAAGTCTAGGGGTGAGTTGAAATTCAACCTCTGTAAGAGGCAAGAAACTCGAAGACAACGACCTTAACCACTAGTTTCGTGGACGTCCGTTTTTGGTCTTTTGTCAAATCAAATATTGAAAGAAAAAATATGAGTTAAAAATTAAATCAAATGTTCAATAAGATGTGAAGAAAATCATTAAAGCTCGAAAAAAAAAAGATTATTCAACTCACATTCATCATTTTCCGAGTCCAAATCCTGAAAACAAACTAGTGTCACAGAAAGATATATTGCCGTGACCCGAGTCGGGCTCGGACCTATGAATCTGGGCTGAGAGACAGACACCAATCATCATTTGTTTGTTGTTAATGATTTTTTGTGTTAAATTCTTAATATTTTCAGACAAAATGTTTGTTTTTCACACTTTTTTCCAGATATTTGTAATCTCCCGCGAAGATGTCCGATGTTAATATACACTGGCTTGGTAAAATGTTACTTACATAAATTAATTTCAGTCATAATAAACAAAAGTGAATTCCCCTTGACCTACACCCCCCTCTGCAATATTTCTTAATCAACTTTAAAGAAAAAGGATTTTTTATCTTGAATGTATGATTTTTTTATCATGCAGCCAAATCATAGAACATATTTTCTTGCATGTACTTTCATTATAATTAGATTATCTACCAAATATTAGAAAGATAATGGTTTAACTTATAACACTTTGATTTTTATTAAAACGATATTTAATAATACTTAGAAATGTTATTACTCGACCCGTAAAAGGGAATAAGCTTCCATAAATAGATCGTATACTCTTTTATTCAAATAGGACATATTTGATAAGAATTTCATAGATTTCTATCAATCTCTACAATAAAAATATTCAAATAAAAAATGAGTTTAATCAATTTCAAGTTAACAATTTTGTTTATTTATGTCAGGTTTACGTGTTGCTTTCAACCTATATCAAAACAACAGAAGGCGCCTTGAGCTGCGTTGAACATTCTGATGTAAGTGTTGATTTTATATTTTTCCTTTACTCTTTCTTTGCTAAAGCAAGGAAATTTATAAAATTCAAACAAGGCAATGATTAAAACATAGATTGCATTGTTTAGATAGTCCTACTTATGATCAAACACCGACCTTAAGTTTAATAAGGAAAAATATGTCTTTGACTTTTTACCATGTGACCTAATTTTTCAGCAACCATATCTAAATTTAACATCCAGACAGAGACAGAAAATTCAATATAGGATGTGATCTTAAGAGTATGAAGAAAGTTGTTCTTTCATTTAACCCGACGATCTAGTTTAACATATTCGAAACTAAAAATTTTACCAGTATAAATAGCAAAATATCACCGTGTTCAAGTGAGCTAACTTTAAATCCAATCATCCGCTTAACAACCAGAAAACTATCTAAAACATAGCTTTGATTTCTTTTATTAAATATAAGATTTTGGATCTTCAAGGGTCAAGGTAACATTAAAGATGAACACTGTTCGTCATACACATCTAGACAAATATTTAAATAGAGAAAAACATAATGCCTCAAGGACGCGCAAAACGACTTGATTGACATGTTTTAGCTTGTTTGTGGACAGTAGTGGAAAGTGAAGGTCACTGTCCACGCCCAATAGCACCGGCTTAGGCAGAATTCAACATTTAAAAGCAAAAGTGATTGTTTGTTTGTTTGTTTCATTTTACGCCTTTTTTCCAACGTATTTCATCATATAGGCGGGTAGTTTCCTAACCCATCGTTCTGGAGAGTTACACCAGTACTAGACAAAACCTTCCTCCGCGCTAAACTACCCAAAGCATCTCCCGGGGATCGAACCCACGCCAGAGAGGTAACTGGATTAGAAGTCATCGACTCTAACCCCTCGACCACGGAGCAAAAGTGATGAAATAATAGATGTTGAAACATCCGCAGACGTGCTCATACGGCCGATATCATGGAACATTCAAATTTAATCTAAAACGTCCAAAGGATGTTTTTGATCGTATTGAGTAGAAGTGTTTTGTGAGTAGTTCTTATAGCACACAAAGGTCACTCTGACCAATTAGATAATCAAATGATATAGTACAGATATAGTAAATGTAAATTACGGCATATAATTAAACAATTCAACAAAATGGAATCTGTTTAATAACAGTTCAGAAATTTTTTATTGCAGTGTCCTGCCGGAAGTGCATGTTTGCTCCCGGGTTTTGGAAAAGCAAAGCATCCCGCCTCAAAAAAATGTTACCCTTGTAAGTTAAATACGTCAAACATTTGTCAGCAATTAATCAGTAACATCTTCAAAAAAATTTAAACTGTTATTGTAAATACTCTTAGGTTTTACCTTTTTTATTTTCATTTAAATTTATTAATTTATCTTATTTATTTATCTATTAATCTACTTTTTTCTGGAAAATCATGACCATTAGAATACAATTATTTTATACCTATAATTGTCGACAAACTTCCGTTACTTTCAATAAATGATTTATTTTGAAAATTTTTGTTCTCAATCTTACTATGATTTCCGTTCATAACAGCTATTTAGAATTTTAGAAATACACAAGGGAAACTTGTTTGAAACTTTAAAACTTATTTGATATTCAAATTGATTGCATTCAATGTGGTAGTTTCATTACTGCTAGTAAATAATCTAATCACAAACAATTTATTAATGGCATCTTTTTAGGTTCGTGTGCTGACTTGAATCAATGTTACATTCAAGGGGGCCTTCACGGCATGAATACGCAATGTAACTGTTTCCGGGTCGGGTTTTTACTGGCTGCAACTGTGAAACAAGTAAAACATGCATTTTACGTAACTGTTTATCAACCAAAGTCGCTGTACTTTATAAATTGAATATTTTATTTTGGGGGTTACGTCACAACGACGCAGTATAGATCATATGATGACATTAGATATTTACTGTTAAAGGAAAACCTCACGTGCCCTTCTAATGTATTATCCCTCAGGCACGAACGGGCACCTGGGTAGAAACCACCGACGTTCCTTGAGCTAGTTATATTGATATATTTGATTGCTTAAAACACAATCTTAGAAGAATGTTCCCATTTAATAAAAATAAGTGAAGAAGATAATGTTATAATGAAAGGGAAAAGAAGTATAATTTTAAGAGAGGAGGAGATCATTCGAAAAAACAACTAATGCAAGCTTTTCATAACGATCGTTAATGATCTTGCATTAATTAGCATTTTATATAAGACAACTTTCATCAATATTTACCAGTTATCTTTAAAGGCGTATACTGTACAATGTCTGTATAACTTATGTATGAATTGCATTCTTTCAAACATATTTTTGTAGTAAACAAATAAATCATTTTCGTGATTAAACATATAGTATGCTTATCCTTGAGTAAAAATATTTTAATCACAAAAAAGTTTATTTATTTTTGCATTTGCAAAGAGACTGTGTAGCAATTATCAATATTTTCTAATATCAAATTTGAGCACAGTTTATCTTTAATTTAGATATTGATGATTGTGCTTATTCACCATGTTTGTATGGAGGGACATGTAATGACGGGATCAATTACTACAATTGCACATGTTTGCCTGGGTTTAGTGGAGAGAACTGTGAAATAGGTACGTTGTATATCCAAATCTTTATGCAAAACTTTCTTTCATTTTGAACTTTACAAACTGAAAATGCATTTGCATAGGATTTACAATACACGCATAAATCATATATTCAATCTAATGCGTTTGTCATAACTTATCTACGGTTTTAACCATACATGAATTGTGATTAAACTTCAGGGGGCACCTTTGTATCTGATCTTTGTTTTACGTTACTTTAAATCATTTATCAAAAATTGTTTAACAGAAGTTTTAAACATGAAATACAATACTACTCTACCGTACTACTTTTTTCATTTTCTAGTGACACGTTCTTTACATGTCTCTGTCAAAGTCGTTTGGAATGTTTTTCACGAATATAATAAGTGGCTTTCTGGTCAATTTCAGGAAAACTTGTTTTGATGAATCCTTATAAATATCATAAAGCAAAAACTTGTTGGTCTACTTTTCGCCCTTAATTTAACATTTAAAATCTATACAGTTATTTCTTAAGAAAACAATTACAGTTTTCAGTCAGAATTCAATATATAAATGAAAAACAACTATGTGATCGATTATCTATATTTATAGCGTTCAGCGGTTGTTGATGATTTGCAACCCGAGGGACAGAGTAAATGGGGAATATGTAATCTACAATAGCCAAAACGAGCCATACAAAAGTGTACTGCGAATTCCACGCAAGTTATGGCTACACGTTTATATCAAAAGGAGATGCTGGGAAGGCTTGACCTGAACCGCCTTCGGTCATATTATACTGAAGTGTTTGGTAAGAAACTTGCGTTCAAATGGGCATCAGTATGATACTACAATGGAACAGATCAGTACTTATTCTTCATTGAATATAAGTATCCAGTACAATGCTAAATTGAAATTTTAAAAAATCCAAAACAACAGTGCAACCCTGGGGGTCTTATTTGTATGTTTTGGGTTCTTACCAATGTCTATTTGCAGCAAGTCCCCTCTACACAGGGGGATACCCCAGCAAAAGGTTTAAAGACTTTCACCGTTCTAAAAATTTTTTTAGGTTTAAACCAAAACCCGCTACCCTTTGCTTCTTTGTCAAAACCCCAAAAAATAAAAAGATCCTAATGGGAAAACTTGACTTGCTGCCTTTCACACCAAATTGATGAGAAAAAAATTTGGGAATTCCGAAAAATGCGCTAACCAAGCTCCCCAAATTTATTTTCCCTGTAATTTTCTTTTACCAATTTTAAATTTTCCATGGAGGGTGGGTTTGGGTTGCAATCAATGGCTACAAAATTTGGATGACTTTTTTGGTGCTGCGTTAGGGTTTTCCCCTTTGGTATGTAGGTCAATTTTTCTAACTAACTATAATGTAATTCATAATTTTCAATTCACAATTCGGATGTCTGGCAACGAACTGTATTTTCAATAATTCAATATTTTGATATTGACAGCAGCCAAAAACAATGATGTCATTAAAAGTGTTTACTTAACATGATTGCAAATAATATTCAAAAAATATTCAATGTAACAATTTACTAGTATTTTTAGTATTAGAAGTTGCAAGTCGCTTAATAGTAGATTTATTCTATAATTGACACCCATTTGAAATTTTCTATTCTATTTTTCAGATATCTAGAAGGACTCAAATTATTGATATCGTAAAGAGAACATATAAGGCTGAAGAGAAAAAAAAATTCTTTGTACGATTTCATGTGCGTTTAAGTACATTTTTCAAATGTTTATATATATTTTATATGCCCATATATAAGTTTGTCCCCCCCCCTTTTGATGGTTATACCCTAATTACTAGGACAAATAACATGTTGTACAAAGTTGGGAAACATTTGTGTTCATAGATATACGGTGTCCTTTTTTTCTGATTTATACAATCACAGTGTCCTATTTTCTGATTATACCATCACTTGGCCGACACCACAAATAACATCATGTGTAGTTTCTAAAACATGACTTTGCTAACACGAATTACATAATGTAACAGCTTGTGACTAAAATTATGCCTAAACATTCATTATATATCTTACCTTTTGAAGGAAATGCTTATTACGCACTCTAGTTTGCTGACATAAATGATTTAATATACCAAGTAAGTTCTAAAACAAACTGTTAAATAACTATGCATTTACCATACATATGCTTTTGCTCACAAACGTAGCAAAATATACATCTTTGGAAACACTTTTATTGATAATGCCTTCCGATGCCTTAAATAAAATAATGTAACCACTACAACTATGAATTTCTGCCCTCACATTTTCCTGTCACAAAAACAAAATGCACAAGTTGGGACACAATTTATCATACCTATACAGTATCTATGTTCATCCATTTGTTTGTACAAATAACAAAATGCAGTTAGTTGGGAAAACTTGTTTGTCTATACATTTACTACGCTCTCCACTTCGTTGGCACAAATAACATAATGCTCCAAACCTTGGGAATACTTTTTTATTTTCAAATTAACTATGCCCTTTATTTTGCGGATACATGTAATATTAAAACCAAGATGGTTTGGGAAAAACTTAAATTGAATACTTATAATGTGTTGTAAATGTGTTGTACACTTATATACATTTACCGTTTAGACAAAAAATATATATGTTTAAGCAGAAGATCTAGGTTTCCAGAATCCTGATTATCTGAATAAAAATCTTGAAATTGTTGAAAAATCATCGAAATATTCAAAAAGAGTCGAAAATTTTTATCTGATGAAACATCGCCTGAAATCTGAAACTAGCAAACTATCACTTTATAACGTTATTTCCTATGAATGTTTGTGTACAGCCATTAAGTTTCAACATCTTGTTCTTTAATATTTGTTTGTATATAATATTATTATAGGTTCTTTCTCTTATATTGGTATAAATTCCTGAACTGGTAATTGATGCAAGAAATTGAACAAAAATAATGAACAACAATGTAAACCTGGTGAATTTCAATTTTGTGTGCAACAAATCGTCGTCAGGTACAATTTAATTATGCAATTTTCCTATTTCTTGCTTTCATTATTTGTAAAAATGAAAATTGATGTTTTTATCAGGTTACCATATGAATATGTTAATGGGTTTTTTGTTTGTTTTCTTGTATTTTGGGGTTTTTGTTTTAATTATTGTACTTGTATATTATTTAATTTACTTGAATAAAACATCTTCTTCTCTCCCTTTTCATGTGTTGTGTTTGTTTGTTTGCAAAAAGAAACTTTATTTATGTATTTGCGCAGCGTGGACAACCTATCAGTTTCACTTGTGTTATTTAAAATAGTAAGTTCCATTTTGGAGCTGAACCCATTCTGAACAATAGAGTTATTTAATGTCTGAAAGACGCAACAGATATACAGTCATCATATGTGCCAAACATCTTAACGATACAATCGACAAAAAAGTTACAATCGATTCTCCCACAAATTGCCGAATTGACATAATAAGTCTAGATTCTGGCTTCCAAAACTTTATTAGCCGCTTTTTGACATTGTGTTCTTTCATCTTATGCGGAACAGTATAAAACAGACACTCTGAATACCTTAATTTATATCGGTCGTATCCGTCAAAACTCGGATAAGCCCTTGAATATGATTTGTCGGCCGTAATGCCAGTACGTCCAGTTGTACGGGAAATTTGCCATCCTGTTCTTAGCACCTGTCGGACAAATAATGAACTAGCAATGGATGGACAAAGTTTAACAAGACAACTTTTTGCATTTCTTATTCCGAAAGGCGTTTGAACTGTTGAACAAAAACAAGCATTACTTTAGTTAATCATTAAAACTAATAACCGTGCAATAATAAGCTGTAAAAAAGGGAGGTAATATTACTAGAATAACTGTTTTTGAGGTAGCAACCAGAATACATGTATAATAGAAAATGTAATTGGTAACGTACTCATACTAGAGTGAGAGTTTAAACGTAATCAATACAGAAGGGCTTAGGTCTAAAAGAAACGTTTTTAAGCCCGCTGAGACCCATAAAGAGCCTTGCAAGTAATCCTAGTTTTAATTTTTTCCAGTCTATTTCTGAAAATAAAATTAAAGAGGGCTTTCAATAATCAACAAAATCCCCTTTTTCGAAAACATATACCCTGTATAATAGTTAAACTAGGGAAATATCATTTGCAATGATTTAAATAATTTAAGAAAATTGTCTTAATTAACAAAACTATTAACATGAATATCTTTAGCTTGTTACTTTTAAGTTTTTAAAAATTGTTAAATTAAACTTTCAATACCATTGAGGGACTTCAAGGGCGTCGTCAATTTTGTCATATAATTTTGAGTCTTGCAGGTTGGGAGATTTGGGATTCTAAATATTTAACTTTTAATGCCTACTAAATATGCTGTGTTTATGATATGCAATGGAATAGAGACATTTGTATTTACCGGAAATGTTTCCGTTACATTTCCAAAGTTTTACATAAAAGAAGGTGAAATATTTCATTCCAGTAGCGTTTACATAACAATTAATCGTTTTTTCAATCAGTAGTTTCAGAGATTCAGCAAATTAAGGTGACAACAGACACTTTCCGTGGTACTCACATAAAATGTCATTTAAACCAACTTACTTTAGTAATAATTATTATCTATTTAATCTTTGTGCATTAAATGTCGTTGATCATCATAAAAAATAACATATTTGAAAAAAATGCCTTTGTAAATGATCCTAAAAAATCCTAAAATTTTAAATCGTCATATCAAAGTCATTTTTTTATTTTTTGTCATCAAACTTTTGGAAAATAAACATACTTATAATATCTGGGGAACCGTGTCTCAAATTTTTTCTATCTTTTCTCAAAAAAATATTACGTAACGTCAAACATTTTATGCGACTTTTTTCACCATACATATTACGTAATTAAAGATAATTTAAGTCGCTGATTGTGTCAAAAATCCTGACACGTTTCCCTCCGTAAATAAATTCCCTTTTCATGTGCTTTAAACCGCATGTTAATTGCTTTATTATTAAAAAAGTTATGCCGATTCAAAGTTAGTCCGACCCGCATCAAAACGAAGTGTCATAAATCGGCTTTTCT